AATGAAATAAATTTAATCATTTTAGTGTAAACCTTTTTAGGTATAAGTTGTTAGTTTATAAATATTATTTTAATTTGTAATTACCATAGTGTAATGTATGAGTATAATGTCTCAGAAAAACTGTGGCTTTCATACTTAGCTTATAAACTTATGAGATATCATTAACTTTTTAAAATATTCATTACAACCTCCTCAGATCTTTCACTACACTAACTCAAAAGGTAAACAAATGCAACATTTTATCAAACAAATATAGTTTATGAAGAAAAGGCTGGTTGTGGTTTACTGAATTGTCAAGACAGTGAACCAGTGTCCCAACAGTCATAATTTCAGTACACTCCTTTGTAGCATTTATGCTGCACATCATGTTTTGTAATGGTTGTGATTTTAAAGTTTTCTGGAATGAAACATTTATCAATTGATAATTTGAAAGTTTGTGTCACATCAGTGATTCTATTTTCACTTTAGTAAGACATCATTGTTAGAGAGCCAAACGATTTCTGTACAGTTGCATCAGTCGTGGAATGACAAATTGTTCATCTCACCCATAAAGCAACCTCATGTTGTCCACAAGGCAGGGAGTGAAAATGGTACTGTAAGCCTTGAGGGATATGCTGTAGATATCAATCTTCAAGTGTATTCTTCTTGTGATAAATACTGACTTCATCACAGATTAGTCTTTCTACTTACAACTTTTAGGACAGTAGTCCCTTTGGTCATTATGTCATTTCTTGATTTAAAAAGGGTATTCATGTAACATTATTACTTTTCTCAAATCACTCAGATTCTTTTATTTTCACATTCAAGTGCCATGCAATTCCACATTGCACATAGTATCACTGTGTAGAATCATCCACTTCATCCTTAGGTCTAAAATAATCTCAGTGACTTGAGACCTCCAGTTACCATGAAGATATCATAAATTACTAAGATTATCTATTGGTTTATGCCTATATAGAATGTAGGTTGCAAAATTTGTTAATGGATATATAGTACATTTTTTTCCCAGAATACCATCCCATGATTATTATTTGCTATGTTGCTAATTTTAAAGCAAGGCTAGCAAAAATAAAATGCATGTTTGTGGTTAAAAATAAATGTTGTGCTTATAAAATGATGAGCAATTTAAAAGAGTAAAAATATAACTGGAAAAGTAAATGGAAAAATACAAAGTCAGGACAATTTCATTAACCCAAACAAACTACAATATATCAGGGAGTTTGACAAGGAAGTGAGAGATTAACTAAAAAATAAGCAATAATCCATAATAAAAATGCAAATATGATGCTTTACAAAGTGAAATGACTACTCGGTAACTATAAAATGAATGTGGGATAAGACATTATTATTTGCAAAGAGCAGGCCTACACAATGTGAGGGAAGTTCTCACAATCTAGAAGTTAGTCTTTGTGCTCCAACTGATGCTCTTCACAAATCCGACCAATCCCAAAATGTCTGATTATGCTCCAGAGTCACAGTTATTTAATGCTAATGCTTAATTGTAACAACCTACAAAATCTCCATTATACCTCAGTTTCTTATATATTTGAATAAGTTAGGTGTTAATTATACATTAATTTTACTTTAAAATGTAATGATTTATTAAATACCAAAAGTACATCATCTTCAGACATATACATTTATGGGAAAATGACTGTGGCCTTTAAACTATTAAAATAGAATTTTATTTATGGACATGTAACTATACAAAAGTTTTATATGTATATTTTATATTACATTACATATTTGAAATAAAAGTATTATATAATAGTTATTTATTTTGAAATTG